CAGCATTTCTATTGGCCGCTGGATGTAAGCAGCATTTCTATTGGCCGCTGGATGTAAGCAGCATTTCTATTGGCCGCTGGATGTTAGCAGCATTTCTATTGGTCAATATATAGGAAGTGTTTGTTTTGGGCTTAAAGTGAAGAGAATTTGATCTGGAAAACAATTTGGAAAGAATACCATTCTTAAAGCTATTTAAAAGGGAGAAATAAATAAAACAATTACTTTTTAAAATATAAAATCTAAAAATCTTTTTATTTTTTCAAAATATTATGCTAAGAAAAAAACTAAGAAAATGGCAAAGTTCCTCAAACCTTTTTATGATTAAGAGGTTTTTAAACATGTCTTTTTCTGGATTGTGTTCTAAGTTTCCATTTAGAAACAGTTCTTTGCTTAAAACTATAATGGAACAAAGTTCACTTCATAACAGTGCTCTACCATAGAGAGACATATTTTAATTAAACCCAGCAGAATGTGGCATTTCTCTCCGCTTAGTTTGAACTTTGCACATTGCTGCAATTGGGGGAAAATAGACCTTCACTGATCAGGATTCTAGGAGCTGTTCATAGATCACAAAAATCACAGCATCAAATCCATAAATACTACATTGTATTATTAGGCATCAAAATTATAGGAAAGTATCATAAATTGACAACTGCTTTAGTGAAGAGCTTTTTCAAATCAAATTGGACAATATAGAAAATAATGTTGAGAATGGATGATGCTAGAATGTTTTATAAAGCCGCTTAAATTTAGCCGTAAACCAGGCATCCCGTAACTCGGCCCCCGAGGGTCACTGCCCTGTAGGTTTTAGAGGTTTCCCTGTTTCAGCACAGCTGATTCTGATGATCTCAGTTCAGCAAAAGCCTTTTAATCAGCTGTCAATGGAAACCAGGCTTCGGTTGTTCTGTGAGAATGCATCACATTAAAAGAGGTGATTTATCACATGGGGTCCCCAGATGAGGCTCATCCTGTGTCAATCGGGCTTTATTCTAGCAGCACCTTACAGGAGCAGTCCTAGGTCTGGGTTAATGTTTCTCTTTATTCATTGGACTTTCATTGAATTCCTCTTAAAACTGTTGTCTTTATTAATTTTGCAAGTAGCAGTCCCAGTAGACGCTGCATATTGTAAAAGGTCCTTGAGTAGAATTTAGATGCATACTGTTGAATATAAAGGAACTGATTGTGTCTCAGAAAGGAGTTTATGAAACAGTCCCCCCCTCCTCTGCTTTTGACCATTACTGCTCTCTGAGCCTCAGTGGCTGCTCTGGGAAACTGGCTCTATTCTGCCCTCTGCAGCCACCCCAGTGAACTGCATGTGATTTAAACCTCATCAGTCTGGAGATGCACATATTACCCTTCCACACAGGAAATTTAGCATCTTTTTATCATTATTTATCATTTATTATGATCAACATTGTTTGTTGCAGAACTGTTTCAATTCTATTCAATTAATTTCTATAGCGCCAATTCCCAACACATGTCATCTCAAGGCACTTTCCAAGTCAACCAGATCAGAACGTTAGAGATTGAACTGACAGATTCTGCAGAGTGGGAGAATAGAATGATGGAAAAAGGGGTCCCTATGTCCTCCAGAAGTCTAAGCCTATAGCAGCATAACTATAGATAACTATAGAGAACTAATGAAAGTTTTAAGCCTAGCCTTAAAAGCAGACAGGGTGTCTGCATCACGGACTAAAACTGGTAGTTGGTTCCACAGGAGAGGAGCCTGATGATATTTCATAGTATTTCTATCTGTTTGCAGGACCGCACTTAAACCCCAGTGTAATCCATAACTTCTATGACAACATTGGGTTCCTTGGTCCCGTCCCACCCAAACCCAAAGGTAACGTGTCTGTTGGTAAGAACTCGTCTTTACTCCATCACTGTTTACATGCGCAGTAGGAAGATAATTTAGTCCCTTTGCTGTTGTAAGCAAACATGTTTTGCAAATGGAAATAAAAAAATTCAGACATTAAACTTTGAAAAACCCAAGTTTATAGATAGGAAGGAAGAACTTTATTTGCACTAACACTACACTTCCCTGTCACACATGCCTGATCTCCCCGTTTTCTGTGTTTCCTCTCAGACCCAGGGAGTAAGATTGTGAAGCCCAGCTCGGAGCAGGAGGACGACGAGGGCACCCAGTGGAACTGCACAGCCTGCACCTTCCTCAACCACCCCGCCCTCAACCGCTGTGAACAGTGCGAGTTCCCGCGGAACTTCTGAGCCAACGGGCGCGTCGCCCTTCCTCTGCACACCTGATGTCTCCCAGAGCAGAGCAGACTTTTTGTTTTCCTTCGCTTTTTCGGAGAGGAAAGCGATAAGAGAAAGCGGACGGCACACGGCCTACTTTTCTCGGTTCTTCCTCTAAGTTTGTAGTAACGCTGTCCGGCGAAGGCCCGACCGCTCAGTGGGATCGTAGCTCACCTTGGAGGCTGGGACGGTTCCCCTGCTCTGCTCGCTGGGGGACACTTCACTCCGGATACTCCGCTGCTTCCACTCACAGTATTACGAGCGTGGCCCTGCAGTGGCAGCGCACGTGTGCCCGCATGCACAAACAATCCCCGTGCCGGTGTGCCTTTACCCCCTGATTGCATATTTGAGAGTTTGGGTTTTTTTCAGTTCCTCTGTGATGGCCTGACCTGGCTAAGGGACGTGTGCTCAGTCACTGAAGGAAACACAAGAAGAAAAAAGGGACTGTCTCACCAGCGCCCCCTCTCTGTCCTCTTTGTCACGACTCGGTGAAAACATGGAAAAACAAGTTGCATGCTTTGTGTACAGTACGTCAAGCAGAAGCTCTCCTCGAGCTCTTTGCTGTACAGAATTTTAGACTGTTGCTTTTAAACCTTTTCTCCTCACACTATGAATCGCTCGTTTCCTGTAAGTATAGCTCTATAGACTTTTTATCAGCTACTTTTGTCTCTGTTTCCTCAAACAGACAAGCACCGTTTTTTTTTAAAGCTTTTTACTTGATACCTGTGAGAAGCCGAAGCTTTGCAGAAGGAGACGAGCAGAGCTGGTAAAACGCTCACAGTAATCATGAAGCTACACGTGTCGGTCCGTTCAGACGCTTGTCTATTTGCCGGGTGTACGATCTGTTAATGTAAAGGCGGTGGAGAAGTTTTTGTTGTTTTTTGTTTTGTTCTTCAGGACATATTAGAGACTTTCTGGGGTTTTTTGGGGGTGGAGATGCTGGGTTAAAGAAAAAAAAAAAAAGACAAACTGCCATCCTATCTGACAACTGGAATGTAGGATTGATGTTTGGGGACAACTACACCTCAGTGCGAAGAGACTCATTTTGTAACCCGCTATGATAGGTTTCAGCGCTCGTGGGAGAAGAGGTTCTTCCCATGCAGCCATGAGTGGAGCTTCCAGAGTTTAAAATGACCTGGTGTTGGATTAAAATGTCTTTCCTCTGTTTGAATGATTCTTCTGTGACCCTTGTGCCTTATACAGCTCTGACACAGAGAAGCCCCGCCCTCGTAATGTAAGCACACCATTGTCCACTCTGTATTGCCTTATTTTTATTGGCTCATTTTATCCTCTTAACCTTTTTATCAGAGAGGAAGCTTCTAAAGTTTACTCACCATGATTAAGATATCGTAACCTTGAGATAGTTTTGAGTTTTTTCCTCATTTTGTTCACTGGTGCCTTTCAATTTATATTGACAATCAGTTAAATTTCCAGTGCCATTTCTATTTTTTTTTTTAAACCAAATTCTTAGTATTATGTAATCCCATTTAGAAGTAGAAGAAAAATTATCGTCTCTTTAGCACTTACATCTTTGTTCTTCCTTTTCCAACCCAAAGAATCCAGTTTTCAGCTTTTTCTTGCACCTTGGTGTGAAGAGGCAGTTCATTCATGATTTATTAAACAGAGGAAAAAGTCATTTGGATATCTAAAGTATTTTTTTTTTTTTTTTTTGGATTTTAGCTGGGAAAACTGTCTTTGTAACAGATAAGTTATTTGTAAAAATAAAAAAAATGTTCTGAATATTGTTGTGCCTTCAGAATACTCTCTCTCTCCACTAGGTGGCGGTATAGCACTCTGTCTGGACTTACTGATTTCTTGGTTTACTTCCTGGTTGTTTTTACACCAGCATTAACAGGTGGAACTCGGGGAATTGGAATATAGCTAGAGATTAGCTGTTAAACTGATTTTAGTTTTTCAATTTTCTAAAAAAAAAAAAAAAACTAGGAAGAATTAGATCAGAATTAGATTAGAATACAAATAATAACAGATTTTATTCCAGAAATGTTGTTCTGGCAGTCACAATCATGAAGATGTTCATGAATAAAGATCGAAGCATTTTAATAGAAAGTTTAGTGGAAGGAAGATGTAGCGTCAGGGATAACTATACCTCTAGAGCAGGCATCCCCAACCTCGGTCCTCGAGGCCCGCTGTCCTGCAGGTTTTAGAGGTTTCCCTGCTTTAGCACAGCTGATTGCAGTAGACCAAAAGGCTGTTAATCAGCTGTCAATTAAAATCAGCTGTGCTGGAGCAAGGAAACTTCTAAAACCTGCAGGGCAGGGGGCCTCGAGGACCGAGGTTGGGGATGCCTGCTCTAGAGGATTGTAAAGCAAAGCCATACAGCTGGGATCTGATTCACCACCAGAAATAGACCACAGCTGCTAGATCTTAGAGAAATCAGGAGAGTATTAACTAGGCAGAGGAGAGGCGGACCATTCCCAGGTGGTTCACCTCATCTCTTCAGATTAATCTGAATTTTGTATTTCAGTAATAAATCAAGTCCAGAGGTTAAGATCATCTTTCTGCCATTAAGATTTTTATCTATTGATACTTCTCGCTGCTGAAAAGCTTGGCTCTCTTCCTCACTACCAAAGGTTATAATAGCTGCTTTAATGCCCCAAGTTTACAAGGGTGTGGCCTTCATGCCACAAAAAGGAGTCCAGGCAGTTTCAGTATTGGACTCTAGTAATATTACATTTTTTAAGAAGCCAGAGTACCGTGAGAGAACCCATGTCTGCTCCGGGAGAACATGCAAACTCCATGCAGCAATACTGTACCACCCACTTGGAATCGAACCTGGAACCTTCTTGTTGCAAGGCAACAGTACAAAGAGACCCAATTAAAAGTTTGTCTGGCTTCTAATTATGTATTAAAATAGTACTTTTACTTTCCCCGTTATTGTGAACTATTGAAGTATTCTTTCTATCAGTAACTTTCACTTTAATTAAACAAATTTTCTGTTAAGATGTTTTTTTATACACCTCAGCTTCTGGCCCACATAATGGTACCAGAGTTAAGTTATGACCCAAACTATTAGTTTAGTTTAAAAACATTTCTACCAAATCCATTAACCACAAGTTTAATAATATTGCCAACTGCATCAACAACCAAAATAGGCATTTTTAAATGATGCTTTCACCTCTTCAACATAAATGTTAGCGGTTTGGTTTAATTTCTGTAGTGGAAATTTAAGACCCGTGATGGGCAATCAAGGACCCTGAGTGGGGTCACGACCCCGACCAATGCAATGGATTCTAGAGTGTCCTCTGGAGAGATGAATACCAGGGATGTATTTGGCAGGAGAAAAGTAACTGTATTACTCGAAATAAAAGTTTGGTGGGGGAGGGGTTGTTTTTCAGGAGTTCGACGTGGTGAAAGGATCACTGAATAGGAGGTTATCCTCCCAAATCCTTGGGAAGGAGGTTGAAAATGGATCCCTAATTTCTTTCAACATGAAAGTTCCATCCAGACATGGATGGACCTCCTTTTACAGAGCACCTTTGAAATGAATTAGAGCAGAGACATCAGTCATATACAGTAGTAGCCATTCAAAATCCCCCCACTTTCCTTGGTTGGTAGTACCCTACAATTCCTTTTAGTACATCAATATTTGTACTAAATGATTTGTGGACATTAAGATCTAAAGAGAAGCTCCATCTCCTGGTCAGACCCTGTAATTCAGTGAAAGGATGGAGTCAGAGTAAAGAAATATGCAAATTGAGGTCACTCCAATGGCTGGAAGTTGGAGGGTGTTTCGCTGGGAGTTGTAGGGAAGTGGGCTGCCATTCGACTGCCGTTTGACTGGGAAGGACCATTTTGAATGGCTGCTACTGTATGGACCACTAGATAAATGGTTCTAATTTCTAATGTATAAGCTGCTAAACCTCATGAACAGACTTCTAAGAATAGGTAAAGGTGCATTGTTATCTCTACAAAAAAGACCAAAAACTTGAGTCATGATAAAGTAAGTTTATATACATTGAGCCTAAATAGAAATCCAGCACTGGGCCAAATGAGCAGATATAAACAGTCATGGTTCCATTTGCTGTAAGCAGTACTGCTAAGCTATTAGAAAGCCAGATGGCCACTACTAAATAGAGCCAACTGTCCTGCATCGCCTTGCAGCAAAGCGACAGTCAGAGAACAACTGATTCTTCTCCAGAGCTTCTTATGAGAACATCAAGGAAAAAGAAAATTCCAGCTCGTAACAAATGCAAAATATTTATATTTATAACTGAACTTATTGATCTCACATTGGAGAAATTTACCTCCACATTTAACCCATGCCCTTGGGGAACAGTGGGCTATCATTCTGCAGCGCCCGGGGAACCGTGTGGGGTTAAGGGTCTTGCTCAGGGACCCAGAGTGGCAGTTTGTAGGAGTCAAGATTCTAATCACTAGCTTTGTATCTCTGCTTCTTTTTGAATCTTTGTTTCTGTCTCCGACTCCAGTCGGCCTCGGCAGATGGCCACTCACACTTACACTTGGATGATCTGGTGAACTGTAAAGTGCCTTGAGATGACATGTGTTGTTAACTGGTGCTATAGAAATAAACTGAATTGAATTGAGCCTGGTTCTGCTGGAGGTTTCTTCCTTTTAAAAGGAAGTTTTTCCTCTCCACTGTCGCTACAAGCATGCTTAGTGTGAGGGATATCTGAGTCAATGAGTCGATGCAATCAGCTGGTTTTCCTTAGATAGAAAATTTTGAATCAATCTGACTGGATGATCTGGTGAACTGGAAAGTGTCTTGAGATGACATGTTGTGAATTGGTGCTATAGAAATAAAGTCTCAGCATTAATAACAGGGTTTCCGCGGGTCATTAAAAATCATTAAAAGTCATTAGATTATAATTTTTTGTTTATTAAGGCCTTAAT